AAATGACAGATAGGAAGGAAGGACCTGGTGGTTTGAAGGTGAGTTTCCAAGTAAATGTGTTCTCCTTGTAGCTATGTAATTATGCAATTGGTTGGGAGTTTCATAACCCCTCCTGGTTTACTTAGGTGGAGACTTAACTTGTTTCCAACAAATGTATCGTGCTTTCATGAGACAAGGACCAGAAATGTCAAATGCCGATCCGGTGGTTCCCCATGCTTGATTAAGATTTCTAATGTGGTCACAAATATGGTGAAGGCGTTTTACAATGTAACGTACGATGACTTTGTGCTGCTCGGTCAGCGGAAGTGGAAGGCCCGCACGCATAGGCGTGAGTGGCTTGACCCTGGCTCGATAGGATGTGTTGGGGTCATAGTAATGGCGTGATGAGATCGACAAGAGTCATTCCGATTGTTGTACTTGCAGCCAGGCAAATAGGAATTTCACAACTAGATTCAGCTCATTGATGACGAGGTGGACATCTCTGTAAGTTTTGTGCGGGGTTTCGTCAACACTTCCCGTTTCTAATGGACAAGAAATTGTAACTATGCAGAGGATGGGATAGGCCCAGACACACCTCCATTTTGTAAACGACTCGATCGTATGCATCTTGGTGAAAGAAAGAGTTTCGGATCAGGACTTGAAATTCGCTGTATTGAGTGACACGTCGGTATTATCTTGTTGTTAGTTGTCTATCGCAAGGATTGTGTCTTTCTGGTATGCTCAATGAGCCATTGACACGGGTACGATTCGGACGCAACGTAATTTTAGTAGCAGGTATTGTATGGTACAAAAATATAGAGAAATTCTCAGTGGGGCCGTTGGTGCTGCTCAATACTTAAAACGAGAAATGAAGTTCCGACCCAAGTGTGGTCCACATATTGGGAGTTACATGGTATAATAGTATTTCCTTACAATTGTGAACAATATAAGGCATAACCTTTATGCAATACTCCTTCGAATCTTTACTTTGAATCATACTCCCAACTTTTTTGTCAATGTAGAAATGTCTGAGAAATTTATGCGGCTGGATATTCTCAAGGCCCAAATGTAAGAACTCGCATTAAGAATACAAATGACACCAGACTCTAATCTTGCTGTGTCATACCCATGATGGTATGGCGGCCAAGCTCGCGAGGTCCCATATTTTTTTTGCCTTCACTAAAGGATGGACAGGCTGTAATAGAATGATAATGTAGTTTTTACTCTTAAACCAAATGGAGCTGATAATGTCATAGTCGTTGAGATATATTTATGTGATAACATCGTCGTCGCAAAATCTTTTGTTCCTGTTCGTAGATGCGTATATCACCATCACTGTCCCGTCTACAAACTGCTCTGAAAACTCCTGATTGGCAAGGTATGTACGGCTTGTGAAATTGAGCAAAATATCTACGAACAAACTCTAGTTTTCCGCCCACATGCGTCATATACGTTGTTGCTTACGCAGAGTCGATTCCGTACTATAGCAATTTGGGCAGAATGCAAAAAAGCCGATTTAACTATCGATAATGACAGCATTTTTGACAAATTATTTTGCTTTTCTTAGTTGCTTCACCAAGTTGCCTTCTCCACCGAGACGTTTTGTCAAAACTTTCACCAATTTGTCGCCGACGTAGTCACATGGCAACGCTTCATTTGAGGCCAAGCAATATAATTTACAGTTTTAACTCATCAGATATTCCTTATACCTAGGCTGCAGTAAGATAGTCGCCAATTCAGCAGATAAAAACTTTGATGTACACATTCTCTTGCTCAGTCATACTTGTATCTGCAATAGATGCTATATCATGAGCTAGTCATAGTCTACTATCTCTCCCAGACCACGGAACTTATTAAGCACTCTATTGTATCCATAAGATTTTAGGAAAAGCGCGATCGGCGTGAGATGTTTTATCACGATTGTACTTCTAGCAAAAGTTGTACATAGCCACCATCTCGAGACTTTTTCATGCATTATTGAGATCGTCATACAGAAGCATCCTCATCACATAAGCTTTCTGACCTAGCAAGTCACCAAACCTCATAATTACCGCTAACGCTCAAGGTTGCAACGCTCTGATGAATCCGTACCACTGAGTGCCAATGCGTTTTACATGTTATTCGAGCACTAGATGAGGAAGTCATGTCATCTGATCCGTCGTACAATTTATCAAACAAATCTTAGTGCAGACGTCTGAAATTAAGCGCCGTTTTGCGCTCCACGTCGCGAAGGAACAAAGCCAACGGGGAAAACGAGACGAAAATCAGTCCTCTCCCTTTCGGTGTTAGCAAATTCGTTTGTCTTTAGAGACAGCTATTACAACTTCTAGCCGAGACTCGATCGTGCAACATTGCTAGACTCCACGAGCTAGTGAGAATCGCATTTCGCCAAATTTCACTGCCTCCAATTTCAAAGCGATAATGGCCGAGATTGCGCCAAATCATGAGTTGTAATTTTGCCAAGACAACCTTTCCTTTGTGGGACCTCAAACTATGATAGTTTTTTGATAAGTGCGTCCCTTAGTGTACCCGCAATCCATATACTGCTCAACGTGTAAGTGGGTCATTTCCTACTCATCGAGCAGGCTGCACCAGGCGTTTAGACTACCAAGATTCATTCAAGTCTGGTACCTGTTGTATCAACTATGTAGTGAAAGGGAGAAGGCGTGGACGGCACCTGACGGTGGCGCTTTTATAACAACACATCTTACCATATTTTGTCGTATTTGGCATCAACATCGTTTTATTGAGACTAGGCAATCGCCGTGCATTAAAATTTTCTAGGTTTACGAGCCGGTACTAGCTGTACAGGATTACCGCATGAATAGATGACATTTGCTTCGAGATACTAAAGCATTACTGCAGTTGCTCAGCAAGACAGCACGAGCTTGTTCGTTCTGGTGGCTACAAACCACAGCACATGTTTTCTGCCTGACAAAGTCGGTTTCACCATCAACGTGGATCTGCGCGCTGTTTGTAGTCGTTAGTGCGCTAAAATTTCAATCTAGATTGATTTTGAAAGCATGGGCATCGTCGCAATGCAGCTGCTCCGGAACATAACAAAGTTTTTCTTGACCTGTCGAGAAAGTTGCCTTCTTAATACTGGAGGGCATTATCGCAATGCAAGACGAACGGGTCCAGGGCTGTCTCATCACACTTGCTACATGAGATGATTGCCGAGAAGCTTCTCATTTTGTCCAAGAAGGATCGTCTATTATTGTCTCGGTCTATGAATAAACTAACCTGGATCACTGCGCAGCATTGAGCTTTGAACGCGACTTTAAACCGGCCAAATGCGCTAGCGATTCCCTAATCAGCGCTTCATTTGATGTGGCCTGTGGTTGTGCGACCGATATATCTAGCTACGCACGATTTGCGGTTAATAGCATCGGTGTATGTGAACATGGTCAGAGTATAGTCCGACTTCTCGTTTATCAAAATAATTACCTGTTTGCTGTTGACCTTTCACCAGAGCGCTTCTTGCAGTACAAGCAAGGTGTCCATCTGGTCAACTTAAAGCTCAATTGTTGAGATGATGAACCTTAGTATTCTGGAGGTGGAGTACTTGTCTAAATGAGTTTTCGCTTTCAGAACCCCGAAAGAAACACTAATTTGACATGTAGATTGATGCCTAGTATGATGCTACTTAAGCAAAGTAGGCAAATGCCTAGTCGATCATTATACTCACACTTCGATGACAAAATTAATGTCGTCATGTTTTAGCAGAGTAAACACTCGTACACAACCTTTGCCAGGTCAAGCATTATTTAGACTTTGCTGTCTATGCATCACTTGATAGAGTTGACATTACGTACGAACGTTGACATGACGTAGGTCAGTTGTCGCTTCACTATATATAAAAGTGCGTGCTGTCTCTAACAACCGGTGTACATGTGTCCCGCCGAGATCAAGACCAAAAAGGATTACCCTGGTACGCTACATAGTAGTAGCGTTGAGCTAATTTTTCAAGGCCGACGCACCCAAGGCATCAAAATTTTATACTAACAATCGACTGCCTATTGCATAACTTTAAAGCTCTTTCATGATCGTTCAGATAAGTTGCTGCGTTGCCTTTTCTCGTGAACGAATCCAGATCTACACGCATTGTTTGTATCGGCTAACAACAGACCTCTGAGCAACACGACCTTCATGCCGTCACATGTGCAGGGTATACAAATGGCGATGTGCCTCCATGGTTTTAGTACAATTTTTGACTTAACAAATGCTATCTCTCCTACTCCACAACATAAAAATCTACTTTGTATATTCGACTATTGTCAGGCATGGAGAAACAATGCAGGTCGATCGATTGAAATTTGCTAAAATGCTAACATTATAACATATCATGCGCCTAGAATTTTTGCAAATGGTCGATCTAAGAGCGCCTGGGTTTAGTGAAGGACGGGATGACCATGCTATTATAATCCTTGTAAAAATCCGAGTATTGGAGCACTATTGCTGAATCGAATAAATCAGCAGGTAATGTTTTGCCGTGAAATTGGTTGAAAAGTTCTTTCGGGCGAAGACTTTCGGACTTCCACTTTGCAAAAACCAAGTGTAATATTTTATCGGCATGTTGTAACAATTGTGCCGGATCGTCTCCTGCGTTTGCTTTTACAGCCAGAGATGCGAGACCCCACAAATCCCCTGCCTTCACATAGGGTTGCGCACGATTCTTCAGACTGATGAACGAGCTCAAAGCTTCCAGTTTTACATTTAGATTTATATCGCCATCCATTTTAAAATGTAGAGAAGTAAAAACAAGGTCAACGGAGGCCTCATATTGCACCCAACATCTGATTTGTTTGTGCTGCATCATTGTCGCAAATTCTTTAGTGGCGGGCTCAAGCTTCGCAGTTGCAAGTGCCACTGTTACTCCCATTTCTCCAAAATTATTTTCTAGCCGAGAAATAGCAAAAAACTGGCCATCTGTATTTTTTTGAGTAAAGTATTTATCAGCGATCTCCACTTTTCCGCTTGTCAATGCTTCAACTGCATCGTTGCCAAATTGAAGTCGATTCCACACCGCCAACTCTGACAGTCCATGCCACGTGCGAAATAATGCTGATTCCAAACCACTCACACTCTCGTCATCAACTCCGGAGAACTTTGCTTTTCTCAA